CCCCATCTTCCTTCCGAGGAGTGGCTGGTGGGTTTGAACCGCCAGCCTTCTGGTTAGCAGTCAAGTGCCTTAGGCACTATGCTACCAGAGCAACTGGTCTCTAGAAGTTGGAAATGTCCAGGAATGGATTTTGCCCTAGAGGCTCTAGAAGAAATGCAGTCCTACGGAAGCCTTGATTTAAGACCTGTTTCAGGTTCCTGACCCTGGGAACCATAAGATAATGACTTTTCATTGGTTTAAATCAGTAAGTTTGAGGTAATTTGTTACAGCAACAATAAGAAACTAATAAACTTACTTCTGGAGGGGGTGTGTTGACTCTCATTATAGACAACAATTTCACACAAGAAGTTTCAAGTACAAACATTTAATTCTAAACTTTATTACTAAGGCTGTGCCACTTTTCAATCTGGAAAAATCTGCTAAAAATAATCATGCGTGGAAAATGTAAAGGTATAGGTGAAAAAGAGGTAATATCTTGTTTAATCTAAGTTTAGACAAATCAGTTTATCTTGGAGTGTGTTCAAAGCCTTACTGTTTATCTATGCAAGGCAGAACTGAGAGGAGAACCAAGGAGCTGAAAGATAATCAATCCGCTTCCTCTGTCTTTGCTTCAGTGCTCTGTACAGGAAATCTACTGCTGTGTCAGGCTCCACAGAAGAGTTTCTTCTGTGCCAGCTTACTAATCAGGCTACAACACACAGAATGCAAGGAAGAGAGGAGGAGGAAGGAGTACCCCACTGCTGACGGGCCAGGAGGACCCGGCACAGAGAAGTGAGAATCACCAGAGAGAGCTTCGCCATGTCCACAGCTCTTGTCCCACCTGTGTGGAGGGGAAGCACTGAGTGAAGAGTGGGAAGAAAGAAAACAGAAATGCTCTGCATTCGGAGAACTTTTGATCTGGGGCTCCTACTGATTTTGACTGTCTTCTCAGTGGCTGGTATGTTTAACTTCTCATTGGGAGTGTGGGGGAGAAGGATGAGAAACCTGGTCTTAGGTCTTACTCAGCTTCCTTTACCTTAGTTATGGAGCTTGTTGTTGTTGTTATTTGCAGGGGGAGGTAATTGGAATCATAGATATGGAAGGGTTTACCCTGAGATTTATTTTACTTTATTACTTTTACTTTTTCCTTTGTCACCATTTCCTCATTTATTTTACTTTGTATCCTATACGGTATATGTATCTGTATAATTCACTGCACTGCTCACTTCCAAGTCCCTCCCTCATTTTTTTACCCCTGGCAGGAAAAACTAAATAAATACTAGTAGCAATTCAAGTTCTCTTTATCTTCTCCCTTGCTTTTATTGTAAATAATAGCCATAACCCACTTAGTTGTACATTGTTAGTAGTGTTAATCAGGAATCCGTTTCTATGAGTAGGTGACTATTTCATATAGCACAGTTATAGTGATGTGGCTGTGATCTGTCTGTATTTATCTTTAAGGTGTGTGGGCTGTATAAGATACTCTTTGAGTTTGAGGACACACTCTCAACATCTGAGTGCCTGTAGGAGTTACAGAGACTTGGAGCTAGTGGTTAAAGGGGGAGTCCTCATTTAACTATAGAGCGTTCACTGTAGACAGAGGGAGTTTTCAGGTTTCACTCTTAGTAGATGAGAGTAACTGCAAGGGAATAATGTATACTTGGTTTTAATTTTATAATTTGATAAGTGAATGAGGAAAATTTATGTTTTTTCCCCCTCACATGGATGACTATTTAAAATATTATCTCTCTTCCAGTAAAAAAAAAAAAAAAAAAAAATCTGTTTTCCTCATGTTATTCTTAATAGTGAGCACAGGTAAAATTGCCATACTTTATTCCTGGGCATTTCCCTGCGGAATTTTCATGCAACTTTTTCTACTTTGATCTCCATAGCAACTCAGTGAAGCAGACACAGAAGATATATCTCCATTTTACAGTGATAGAAACTGAGGCTTGTTGTTGTTATGTACTGTCAAGTCAGCTCCAACTCATAGTGACCCCTCCTTGGGTTACCAAGGCAGTAATACTATGGAAGTAGATTGCCCAACCTTCTTTCCAAAAACTGAGCCTAGGAGAGGTAAAATGATTTGTTCAAGGTTATAGTGTTATATGGTGGAGCCACACCTAGAAATAATGTACCTCGGTAA